TATATATATATATATATATATATATATATATATATATATATATATATATATATATATATATATATAACACGATAAATTGGTAAGCAGTGATGAGTTATACAAAAGCAAACAATATTATCAACTAAAAAATTCCTTGTCGTTGCCTTCGATAATAATTTTACTGTCGATTCGTTGATAGGTCGTTGAGTTGGGGATATGTTACGGGAAATGTATTTAGCAAATAGTAAGAATATGGTAGATCGTTGTCCAGTGGTGGCCGATATGCGAAGATGTCGTTGTTTGTGGTTTAGTCGTGGAGGATATGCGAAGAGGATGTATTGTTTGCTTGGCTGTAAAAAACTAAAACTATTTTGGATTTTTTCTTATATACATATGTATATATATAAGGATCAGGAAGGAGTTTTGTAAGCTCCATCGGAGTTATCATGGAGGTATGACTGCCTATGGCATTGCCCATTGTGTAGGTACAATGATATCATTGTCCATGATGTAGCTAGTGAGACTTCTTTGTATTATGTTGTCCATTGTTAGCTTAAATTTTTTTCATTGCTTTAATATTACTTACAAGATTTCATCACCCTGTCTGTTAGATATTGTGGAAATTTAATTTGAACATAACTTTAATTTCAATAATCCGACATGACTTACGTATTGCTTAATGGAAATACAAGAAAAAGCGCTTACAGAAGATAAAGTTTGGTTTTCATCACGTGGAAAATGTCCGCTTGCTTTGAGCTCTGCAATAAGATTACACTAAACTCTTAACATAAAGAGTCCATCATCGTTTTGACCATAATAACCATCCATCATCATCTCTCCTTCTCTGAATATTATATATATTAACAACTGAAACAGGGAACAATACGAGTTAACTTCATGTCCACGAATACTGAAATTTTGAGTGTGATTCAAATTTCATTTTTTTACGCATACATTTCTAAATCGTAGACCTTGCAAACTTTGACTGTTCAAAAGTTAGCAAATTCGACTTCGAAATCTCATTTGCGACTTATGCAAAAGTGGGTTCATTCCAAAAATTTGGTTAGTTGTGCTCTTAACACGTTTTAAAATCTTGTGCAATTGAATGACAACATGGCTATATTCTGAACTAGATAAAGTAACCAACTGAGCATATCAAGCGATGTCATAGAAATGTCGCAAATGTAGAAGTTGAGAAATTAAAGTGCGAGCAGAAGAATAGCACGGAAGGAAAAAAAAACTGTCAAAATGAATTTTGCTGCCAAAGAAATGGAATGTTGGGTGAAAAGGCAAATACTGTGCATTCTCTAATACATAATCATCATCTGAAACATTCATAATTTTTTCGCCGAAAAAAATATACTCTGCCGGAATTTCGTCGCGTGAAGTTGCAGAGTTCATTGTTTTTTTGCTTTAGTATCTTTCAGTATATTCCTCCTTTCCGACAACTTTGAAGTAAAACTTTCAGGTAAGTAAAGGACTTCGTAAAATTTGAAAACATAGTGAATTCTCTAGAAGTTAAGCCGATGCAGTCACGACACTTCCTGTGTTGACCATATATTGAAAAACTGTATTAAGTTGAAACAAAGGAAAAGCAGAACATGTGGGAAAATAAATTAATAAATAAATAAATGTCGTTGGTGTATGGGAATAAATCGAGACGTACTGGGGCGTTATTAAATGATGTCCGTATGATTGTCGGAGTTGTACAGTGAGTTTTGAGTAAAGAAGATTCTGATTAGTGTTTTGTATCAGGTTTGTAGGTAGGGGGGTTTTGGATCGGAGGTCAACGGTCAAACGGACTGGAGGTCACGTGTTCAGTAAAATTAGCTGAAGGAGAAGGTCATTTAGGACCTGTCTTTCGGAGCACTGCATATTACATCTATTTCTTTTTTGTACACCAGTGATTCCGATCTGGTCGTCCGCCGGAACTATGATCCGCGAGGGTGGCGGCATGGTGAGCAGAAAGCAGGAGAGGACTGTTCTTATCAATGTTTTATAAACCAATACGTCACAAGTTTTAATTAGAGTTTGTTTTCACATCAGCGCAATCATTGTTTTTGAACGTTGTGGTCCATACCATAGATAAAAAAGCCAAAGTGGTCTCCCGTCAAGATTAGAAATCACTACTCTACACTAGATGATGGAATTAGCAGCCCAACAAGACTTACAATAATGGAATACATTGGTGCATCTCAGTATCGTCATGTTTATTTCAGGTTTAATGGGTATAAAATCCGAGATGTATTTAAATATAGGTAATTGAGCGAAATCACTGGCTGGAAAGTAATGGCATCTAATGGTTATCTGATGGAGAGTGTTGAATCTAATGACTCTCAGGAGAGAGCTGGATCGTTGGTTGACGTATCAGAATATTTCAGCCATGTGGACGAATGTCGTGCTTTAACTGAGCAGGTGATATCGTAAACAACTTTGTTTAAAATGGATGCGTGAACTGATTAAGTACTGAAATTCCATCTTGTGCAGTTTCCAGTTGAGTTATTTGATAGGATTAATCAAACAGTTATGAGAAGAAAAGTGTTACAGATTCCGCTAACATCTTCATCTGGTACGCCGAAAGCAAAACTAACGTGTTTTGATGTCGGCCATAATTATATCGCATTTGGAAGTGACCGTGGCACTTTATTCCTTTTTAATCGTCGATTAAATCGCAGCGCTACCCCGTATAGTTTTGCATTCTATTTGATACATTACTAACATACAAGACCATGTATAAGGTTTAGTGACTGATACTTCCAGAAATTCCGTTCATGTGAAACACTGTTATAAAACTGTTTGGAGTGCAGTTAATGAAGAACTAAATTATCAAAACGTGAAAAATATTTCTTTTTTGACCAGTATATTTCTTTTTTAACAGTTTTTCCAGCAAAATGCCTAAACCGAAATTTCAGCTTACGAACAAATATCGATGACTTGATCACATGTGTAAAACTTTTCTCAGGAGAATATGATTTGCTCGCTGCAGGGCATAATTCCGGAGGCCTTATATTACTGAATTTCCCAACCGGGAAGCCCGGCTCAACTAGAAGAGTTTTCTTTTTTTTTATTGGAAGTGGGAGTTCATTATTGATTTGTTAATAGTATTTTCTTCTTATATCTGGAGGTAGATCTGACTTTTTTTGGATAATTTCGATTTATATTTATGAACACATGGTCTTACGCCACTTAAAAATTATCAGCTTGTACCGAATGCTGTCTTTTTTTGAAGAACTTGAAGTTTTTTATAGCTATAATTTGCAGTTAGAACAAAATCTTTCATTTGATGGACATAAGGGACATGCGATCAGTTGTATTGCATGGACAGAAGATGGCAAAAAAGTATTTTCTGCCGATGGCACTGGCGTTGTAGTCGTCACTTCGGTCGATTTTATTCATGTTAGTAAAACTGCAGTTTTTTTTAATTGTTTAACCAGTTATGTTTCGTATGAGCGTGTTTTTTTGACTATCAGTTTATTATATTACCATGTTGATCTTTCTGGATAATAATCAGTTCTTTCAGAATTTTGAAATGTCGAAATTTGTTTCAGCTCTACAAATTTTCAGAATATCTTTCAAACAACGTTTGTCTGTCTCGAACATTCCTGTGTGATGCAATTAACTCATGTCTGCAACCTCCTAGCCCTTTGCACTGTCAAAAGAGTTGCTGTCATGGAGGAAAATTTTTTCAATTCGGTACTGGAAATCGACCAGCATCAGCAGAAGTATTTTTATGCTCATCATTTGGGTATTAGGCAGAAAAAAGAAGTGTTTTATTTATGAATTACTAAAAAATTGAGGAAATAGTTTTTTCGAAGATTTTCAGAGCTGTCGGTATACATATGATTGCTAAACCTTGTGGAACGGAATTATTTGTTCTTCATTCAGATGGTCTCATCATTATTTACGATATTTCCTGTGGTAGGAAGAAAGGAAGTTTCAGTGTATCGGAAGAAGTGAGTATAAGTGGGACATTAAGATTTCAATAATGCTTGCTTTCATAGTCTTGTTTAGTACTTAAATCCAAGCTTTCATAGTGAACTATTTTAATATTTTGCATAAGTGTAACATAGCACACTTAATTTTAGATAATGCAGAAGTTGGACGCAACAGATTTTTCAATTGGGCACAGGTTATCCTTTCATTTTTAGCTGTTTTAATTAATAATCAAGAGGTTCGATGTATTTTCACAAGTCAGAGAAATAATAAAAGTTAAATTCAGGTCAGATTCATTGAAGAAATTCTAGTAGTTTTTTATAACTTCAATGAATTTGTAGGTCACAACAATGGCGATCTTGCATGTTAACGATGCATTCACAAATTTTCATAGTTCATTTCTACAATTACATTGTTTTCTTGAATTTTAATGACCAGGCTACAACTTTATCATCATTTGATGTAAACGCTCTTTTCCACGACAGGACATTTGGAGTAAGCTATTTGAAATTTTCGGAACTTCTGTATTGTAAGAATTTTATTTATCAATACGTAGATTTTTTTTTTCTTTTTTCAGACCTCTGTTTGTGTTGATCCAAAATTTCCATCCCCTATTATTTATGTCCTTGGTCCAGATAATCGTGTTTTTTGTCTCTCGTCGAACGAAGTTCCTTCGTATCTTAAAGAAGCTCACGGTTAGTTCATTTTCTAGATTATACTACATTGCTTCCGAAACAAATGGATTAAGATTGTTCCATGTGAAAATGCTACGCATTTTGTTTGATTTGCCGTACTGAACCTACTTCACTTGCTTTAGTTGTGACGCTTTCCTAGACCACGTATCTTTTTTTATGCTTACAAAAGGGAGATTTAGTATTACAATTATTGTTTAATTTCACAATGAAATAAATTATTTGGTGTTTAATTTAATAGATGATCAGTAAATTCATCGATGTAACGCAGAAACCTGAAGAACATAATTTCTGTATCTTACGACTTCTTAACCTCGCTTATCAAGTTAAAACTGTTTCAGAAATACCCAAGGAATTCACTCCAAAAAATTTCTTAACCTCTTTTCAAAAAACTACTAAATTACTGCCGAATGCGTCAAAGAATGCATTTCGGGATGGCTTGGAAGTGGTAAAGGCGAGGAATATTTTCTCTACATTGCGTAATTTTCCCATTCCAGTTTTGAATGCTATGCCTGATTTGAACTCTATTCTGGATAATAGCAGGTAATGTTATTGAGCTAAATCATGAAAAATTTTATTCCATAACTGTGAAAATGATTGCTGCTGAAGTCATCAAGCTCGATGATGATTGTTTCAGCCGTAATTTCCTTTGCGATCAATCATCGGATAGCAGTTCAGAAGATAATAAGTTGGTTATGGAAATGAATAAGTCGGGTGTTGCAGTACCTCATGAAAAGAATAATATTTTGAAACATTTTGGTAAATTATTCAATGATGTGTTTTTTGTCTCCAGAACTGATGAGATTTCGCATCAGTCTTCGAAATAATCCCTGAATTTTTGTGGTCTTGTTGGTGCATTATTGTTTATCATATTATTAGCAGTCAAATTTCTAGAACATATGCAGATACAACCGGCCAATATCATAGAAAATGTCAACAAAGTGGCACGAACATTAGTTGATAGAGTGGGCGGCTTTGGTACACAGGTACGTTATCTAATATCAGCTATTTAAAAAGATTTCTATTAGCCTGTTATTTTTGAAATCTGATAACTAAATTACCTCGTAGCTATTCAGAATATCACAATTTAGATCGAAGACGGCTTTCCGGTGCAGTCTATATGTGACGCCGGTATTGTGGACGTGGAAAGATTATTGTTTCCAGTTGAACAAGCTGGCATTCTTCAAGAAATTATGGTACGTAGGACGAAGACAGCTTCTGCTAGTAAGCGGAGGAAAACTGAAAAAGTGGATAATTTTGATAGACACAGCTTAATGGATTCAACCAAGGAGGATTTGAGTCCTGTTGATGAGCATACGCTGAAAAATATTAAAGGAGGTGTGTCAATCTTTTTCATGGTTTCAGAATAGATTGTATTATAGGGCAGTATGCAAATTCGCACAAGATTAAGATATTCTCAGCGCTTTGCTCTCTTTTGCTGGTGACAGTTAAATTAGTAGGGAAAAATATGACTGGGACATTCCTAAGAATATTGGGATCAATTTATTTGATTTAATTTTGGAGAGATTGAGAGTATACCGTAAAAGATCATATGAGATTTTTTCAGCACTTACGATTCCGTTACAAATTGATGAAATGAATTCCAAGTCTCAGAATGATTTCCACGGTGGCAATATCGAACAGACTGGCTGTTGTAAAGAGAATCAAGAAGTCAGTAAGAGATTATTTGTACCCTTATTCTTTATTTTTTGGAATTAGTTATTAAAGTAATCTTCCCTTCAAAAATCAAGAAACTGTAAATTGCAGGTGATTTGGAATGGTAAAGTGAATGATGGTGTTGGTATGAAAAGTGAAGAGCATGACTCAGTAACAGGCATTTTAATCTCTTATTTATTAGCAACTATTTGGCTGAATGAACTGATCTTTATGGAATGGATTAAGGTTCATTCGCCGATCGATGCTTGTTTTCTTTTTTTTATTTTAAAAATTTTGGAATAACCCAAATTTGAGTTGGGAAAAAGTAAAACGAGATATTTCTATTATTAGTATAATTTCCGGTTCCAAATGTTAAGAATAATTGTAAAGGAACGTTTTGATCTGTCTTCAAATTTCCGTGTCAAATTTTTGAGGTGTGATTACCCTAATTAAATTCTATTTTAAATATTCTAATGTTTATCACTTGTGCGCTTGACATAATTATTTCAGAACAATTCATGGAAGAAAATTTAACGAATTCAGTGCCAGAATTATCGGGCGAGGGAAACGCTTATGAATTTTTAATGAAGGATGCGCTAGAGAGAAAGCCTTCTGTTTTTGAAGTAATTTTATTATTGTTAACATGATTAGAATATCTGTAGTATTTATTTACTTTTTGTTGTGATGATGTAACATTCATAATTATAAAATATTATACTGTAGCGAACAACAAACAATACCATATGTCGCCCTGATGATGAACAACTGATCAAAGACGTTATTGTGATGAATAACTTCAGCGATATTTGGAACGAGGTTTGGAAGTTTTTAATACGCTTTAAATTTTAGTTTTCTTTTTTTTTCCTTGTTTTTGGGTATGTTAGTCGTAATGGTTTTACTTTGGGTAATAGTTAAACAATTGAGCAGTACTATTTAAAAGAATCAAAGAATTTGAACTATTTAAAAGAATCATAGAACTACGTCTACCAAATCGTAGTAGCTTCTAATTATGTTGCCGAATTACGAGGGACTTCCTTACTTTGTTAATGCTTTCCCTACATCTGTCGAATACAGTTTGATTTCGGCTACTTTATATATATTGGAATCCTTTACGGATCGGTTTGCAAATTACCCTAAATTTGCTTTTCTGAGTTATCATTGATGGTTTTTGTTTGATTTTATATTTCTATTTCGTTACTGGTGTTGCAAATAGTTCAAACAGAGGGGTAGCCAAGTTTGAGCTCATGAGAATACTGAAAATTAAGGACAGGAATTATAGAAATCTAACGATCATTTAAAAAAGGAGGCGAAGACTTAAAAGTTATAAGTACATACAGACGGCGATTCAAAAAGTGAACACAGTCAGAGAAACAGTTATTTATCTGGTAGCACAATAATCTTCAGTAATATAACATCCTCTTAAAATTCATTGCATTAGAGAATATGAAATTCATCAAAATGCCAATGATGGTTTTTTTCTCACTATCCATTTCAGATAAAGCTACCATATTCCTGTTCGTCGTTTTCTGTCTCATCTCAATATCTTATTATTTGCCATTCGAAAAAGAAAAGAAGGCCGTGTTACTTGCTTATTCCATATTGCGGCACTCCGCAATGGATAAAATTAAAACAGAAAGCGGATCATTTTGTTGTCAATGGTTTGTTTTGTGGAATATATCTGAACTGAATAGCTGTTGTAGTAAGTCGATATTTTATTCAACGTTAACATTTCAAAAGAACTGATTCGTTTTGAACTTCTCCAGAGTAATTTTCTTTTACTGTAGACTTTGGGGTTTACCTTCCATAGAACGATTGCTAGCATCTTTTCAAAACTATTTTCACTTTATTAAATTTTTTCGTGATGAGAATCTTTTTTCTACAGAATTTGTTCGAGAAAACTTGTCTAAATTTCAACTTACTAGCAATAAGTGCTACTTATATCTGATATGTTGATATTCTGATGTATATTCTGATATTTTGATGTGGTGGAGCCGAGTAACTACTAACTCCCAGAGACATTTCTATTTTCTTAAATAACTATTTAATATTGGTAACATAATTAAATTTCAAAATTTCTCAAGATGATGGCTCTTTGGTTTGGAAAATCCTTAAAAATGTCGCACTTGCACCCATGGAAAGTGACAATGGATCTGATTCATTTTTAACAACTCTTCATTGGAGTGTTGTTGCTGATGAGGGTGGTGGTATTATTGAAGCTGCTCTAACTAGTCGTTCAGCTTGGTACATAACAAAGTCGGGAGAGGTGTGGTCTGTTATTTCATTTTGTATTTTCCAACAATACTAGTGGAAAAACTAAAGCTAATGCGAAGTGTAGAATGGTTGCTTAAGTGGTTTTCGGTATTGTAAATGAATGTTCTCTGTTAATGACTTATAGATTAATTGGTTACATATATAGTTTTTTTTTAAAAAAAGTCTTCGTCACTTTTGCAATATTTTAACAATTAAATTGCAGGTTTTTGTACAGCTGTGTTTACCGGAAATGGGCATTCTCAGTCGGTGTGAAACGTCGGGGCCGTTACATTCCATCACTGCAAGTGAGTTGGCAGTTTGGGCGCTACAAGTTGAGTCAGGTCGCCTTGTAGTACGCACTGGACTAAAACATAGCCCAATTGGATTGGATTGGGTTGAAGTTGTGTATGTTTCTTGTTATTAAACTGTCATCGTCCTTACTGAAGTGAAATTTAAACTCTTTGAAATAATTTTTTCTTTCCAAATCTGAATTTCCTTATTTTATAACTTATCCATCTGAAGAACAATTTTACAGCCCTCATGGCCCTACACGTCTGATTAGCATTTATTTATACGGCCAGAGTGGTTGGGCAATTGATGCAAAACGTTCACTATGGTTCACAAATGGTGTGGGATATCAAAGCCCATTTGGCTGGACAGGAAGCTGGATGAAAGTACGTCTTTTTTTTCGGCCTATTTATCTAAAAAGTGAAGGAAAATAAAACTTAGCATTCCTCACTGCTATTTCATTATTATTTTGTATCAATTTTTTCACTAGTTTAATGTATTCATTGTTTTTATTCGAAAAAGAAAATTTCAGGCTAAATATTCCGATTTTTTCTTTGAGGTTTATAATCCGTGGGATGTTTCACCGGATATTAATCGGTTGTTGGTTCTACCATGGGTTATTCGCGTCTCTTCGGCGGGAGTTTTTGTATGTGTCGACAAGAAGTGTTATTGGTCATCTGGCACTAACGTTCTTTCTGGGCATTGTCTTGAACGCATTGTAAGAGATAACCTCTTAGTGGATAACAATTTTGAACTAATAACAGGTGGAAGTTTGAAGGAAGATTTTGGTGAGTATTTTAAGCTGCTGTAGAAGCTTGTTTTGCCCAGTATTCATTAAAATTTGCGATATGTCATTGTGGCAACCATCGAAAAATGGTTTAGCTTGACGGCCTAAGCACCACTTCGTATTTTTGCCCCTATATGGATTTCAGAGTGTTTGAAATTTCTTTATGCTCATGAAGACGTTCAAGCACTGACCGAAGAGTTCTTCAAAAAAAGCTAATCCAGTATAAGTCAAAAAGTCAATGTATGATAACGTTGTTGCAGATTGTTTAACGTTATGTCGAATTAACGAAATATTTCTTTATCGATTGAAAAATAGCTATTTTTATTCTCTACCAGCTTTCCCGTCATCATTTAGTTCAAATGTAATACATTTTGCACTTAAAGTTTTTCATTAATAATTGAAATGTTTTGGACACGAGCTGCGTATGTTCTCTTTTCGTGGGAAAAGCAGATGAGAAAAGCATTTATTACTTCTGTTTCAGCTGTGTTCTTTACTTCTTCTGTTGCTGTTTCTCATGCAAAATCTTGCAGATAATTGAAATATCATCTTTTGGCGAGAATGTATATGTGTTGGACAGTTCCGGTTGTATATATGTGAAGGAAAATATAAGTACTGTTTCTCCATTTGGTGTTGATTGGAAAATCTTAGATACAGGCCCTTGCGGTTAGCTTTTTTTTCTTGTTTTCAGAGTTTGACTTATGCAATTCCCTTACTTTTACTTTTTTAAATGTCTGGAATAAATAATTGCATAATTGCTGTATGTAAATTTCAGGTTCACCAATAATATCATTTACCGTTACATCGCTTTCATTGTGGGTAGTTACGGCAACTGGCGAGGCTTGCTTGTATGTAAAAAGTGAAAAGAAGGAACCACTGGTTGGTACAAACCCTAAATGGATTCATGTGGAAATTTTGGCAGGTTGTATATTCGATAAGGTCAGGAAGTTACATGTGGTTACAGATAATCTGTTGGATTTTCATATTTACTGCTTCTGATTTGTTTCTGATTCATTTTCATTTTATTGAAGAGGTGTTTGCTTATTTCAGCTGTAATTATTTTGCAATTATTTCCTTTTATTTGACGCTTAATAAAGTATTTTTTTTAGATTCGTGCATCCTGTAATGGAATGTACGTGTGGGTCTTTTCAAGAAGCAGTGGACGTGCATGGGCTCGTAATTCTGTTACGGACGCACTCCCTTCTGGAAAGTCATGGACAGAGGTTATTTTCTAAAGTTTTGAATTAGTGCAAAACAAATAGTACTTGTCCAAATTCCTAGGCAACTGTTTCAGGCAGGCAATGAACCTGGTGTTTATGACTTGGCTGTAGGGTGTAAAATAATTTGGTCACTTTCCGCTTCTGGACAGCTTCACAGACTTCAAGGTCTTGCAATCAGTAATCGAGCTGGGAATTATTGGAAGCCTGTTCCACTTTATCTAAAAACAATAACTGTTGATAGAAAAGAAAGGTTATGGGGAATAGACATGAACAGGCGGTTGGTTTCTCACAAGTTAAGTTTTTATTTTATGCTTCCACAAATTTAGCATAATCAAATTTTGTCGATTCATTTAATAATTTTTCTTGCCTAATTTTTTTAATTCCTGGAGAAGTCATATCCCTTGAATTTGGTTTTTTGATGCTGAATAATTTTAGGCTGAACTGTATCCTCCCTTCAGTGTTCATCAGTTGAGGTCCGATGCAACTTAATAACAATCATGAACCTGATGCGTATTGAGAATTAACACATCTTTATTTTGTATATTTCTGGTATTGTTATGCATTTTGCAACTTTTTTCCCTTATTTTTTGCTTTAACAAGATCATTTACTAATCTATTCTCATTCAAAATTTCCGAAATCTCATGAAACGTCAGGTTGTTTTCAATACTTCCAGACTTTTTTTTTCACCTTTTGTTTTTAATTCTAATTATCTTTGCAGTAATTTTTTTTGGTGTCTGTTGATGTGCTTGTTCCTAATAATCAGGATATTTGATACTCTGGGTCTATTACTTCAGCTTCAGAAACTCTTTTTCACTTTTTACAAACTTTCATTTATTGGAAAGCCACACTCTTTATCAAAATTACTTTTAATTTCTCATTCCCACGGCTTTTTTTTTTTTTTTTTACTGTGCTTTATGTGTAACATTAATTGATATAAATATCGTTTGCCATGCTAAGTTCCATAAGTAGTTATTTGATATATAAAAGAAGAAGAAAAAGTTGCTTATGCGAATTATTAACTCAAGTTTGTTGAAGCAGGCTTTTCTTACCGAATAGTTGGGCTTCTGACTTCGCGACAACACAAATACTTGATTATTTTATGTCTTTTATGACACATTAATGAAAGGATTAGAAATTCCGGGGAAACAGCGTATCGGACAAAACTTTCTGCATATAAAATCCAGCATGTTGCTGAGGAGCAAACACTATCAAAGAGAAGTGAATCGAAGGCGGAAAATATGTTGTGTCCTGAGTTCTTTGTTTGATGAGTAGAGAATGTTTGGAAGAGGCTGTCGTTTTCGAAAGTATTTTACTATCCACAAAAATGATGTTGTACCACTCTTTTTATCACGATTTCGAAGTTGTAGTGTTAGTTTTTGAATTTATTCATTGGGAATGCACAAACTTCTGCTATGATGACGTGTATCAGGTTCAGCATTTGGCTTCTTTGCAATTTTACCCATTATTCCTGCTTTCTTGAAGGGGTTTTATGAGTTCTGTTTAACCTCCCAACCTTTGTCTTCGCTCTGTTCCGTCCGTGTTCTTCTTCACGTAGGATTTTGTTGCAGAATTTTCAGACCTCTATTTGGTCATGTGCGGTGCACTCTTCATTTATGAAATCTAGTAGCGACAACTTGCAGTGATGAATGATAGACTTTTCGTTCCAAAGGTTTCTAAAAAAAGATGTAGGGAAAACTGAAGAATTGGGATAGATGATAGCAATCGTTTGTACTATTTCAGCAGAATTTCTATATCCATACATCATTTTAATTTCATTTTTCTGCACGGGTTTTCGTGGCCTCACCAGATTGATAATTTTCACTGGTAAGCAATATTCAACAAGAAAATAACTGAAAATTTTGAGCAATTAATTGAGTCGTGTTATATTTCTATCTGTTGACTAATTAACATTACGGTGTCAGAATTTTTTGTCGAAGTAATTAGCAAAGCGCAAATCTGAACTGAATGGTGATAAATGGAAAGTTGATTGAGACGTTGAAAAAAAAGAATTATGGGAACAGAAAATATACAATGATAAAAATCAAGCATAATTTACTGTATTCCAATGGACTTCTTTCTTCTTAATCTTTTTTTTGGCGTGTAACACTACTGTCATGCTTATATTTTGTAATACAATGTCATGCTGTACGATACAGTATAGAGTGGTACTGAAAAAGTTTGCCCGCCATTCTAAAATTGATTTCTTCTTTACATTAATTTGCTATTCAGAAATAACAAGAAAAAGGATAAATTGAAATGAAAGTGGTGATTTAACAAATGAGAACTATCGGATTTAGTTAAAAGGTTTTATTTGTTAAATCGCCACTTTCCATTTGAATTAATCTTATTAAATTTCAGAAACTTCTGGATCTTATTATTCTGAGACCATTCAAAATCTGTGATAAGTTTGCATGATTGAAATTGGGAGCTTTGAATGTGTCGAAGTCTTTCGCTATTATGATCAAATTATTTGGGAGAAATCGTGTGGACAGATGTACGCATCACAGGAATGGATTGCTAATTACCAAAAATTTTGAGCATCACATTAACGTGACTTAATTGATATCCGACTGTTTAAAATAAAACCTTCTGTTGGAGAAGTAGGCAAAGTGACAGAACAAATACGTATAGGCAGTACATTGTTGTTAATATTAAATAATTTTTTCTCCACCGTTTCACTTTCGCCAATATACTATTTTTTACGTTGCTATGGGACTGGCAAACCTATAAGATTCTTTCCTAAAAATTATGGGAATATTTTATGGTTATTACTTCCCTGTTGCTTGTCGACAGTCAATATGATATGTTTACACAAATATCTTGTTTGATTTATCCATCGATGATGCAGTGCTTTGACAGCAAACTGCTCCATCAACATTTCATCCAAAGTGACAGATGGTGACAAATTGACTCAGAGGTCCTGCATCCTTTAGTGCTTTACTGCTTCTTTTTTGCTGTGTTTTAGATTTATAACAACCGGGAATAATAATAAGATGGTTTAAGAATTCAAGAAATTTTGATTTCGAGCTTTTTGAAGTAGATGGTGAAAAATGACATGAGACAGTTAGTTAAATATCAGTGATAGCTATCACTTATATCAGTAGTAGCTATCACTTTTGTCTCTTCATTTGAATAGTAATTGTGGTTGGGAGTTCTCCAGAATATTTCTCTGTCTAATCTATTCAGTTTTAAATACACTAATGAGCGAAAAACAATTGTTTTATTAAGCGCCAATTAAATGAAAGATCACAAGTAAAAGAAGAATAATTACAGCTAAAATAAAATGAAAATGAGGCAGAAATAAATCAGAAGTAATGAATTTGAAAATTCAATAAATTATCCCCAACAGTTTCACTTTCACACATAACTCCTGACTCCTGATCTTATCGAATAGACAATCAGCCAAAGTTTTCAGATGAATCCATCTAGAGTTTATACCAACTAATAGTCCCCTCTGTAAACATGTCCGGACAAAAGTAGCGTAACAACCCATAATGACATCAATGTAATAGTTGGATTACCTCGTATTACTACTGCTGAATCCCATCGCAATTTTGAGAGAATCGCGCGAAAATGAGAAAAAAAAGACCTTCCCTTTCCCCATTCATCTTCTCTCTCTCTCTCTCTCCGTGAAAGTATCGTACCAAGCGCTTTCCAATGTAAAAGTTGTTGTCATATTGAGTACTATGTCAGAGAAAGGAAAATTAAGAAGTTCTGCGATGAAGAAGTTGGTTTGTAAAGTACTTTATTCCTTTATAAATGTTTCTCTGTTTCTCAACCTTCCAACGGAGGATATTCGCTGTCTGCTCGAATAATATTTTTGAAATTGTATTTATTTGTAGACAACAAGTGACAGGTCCAGAATATTAGAGTAAACACTTTCATTTCAATCACTATAAATCTAGATGAATCGATGGGAAGCGTATCAGTACAGTCCCTCCGTTGTCTTGTAAGTTTCGTAAATTTGTAGATTTTTACTTAGTGCACAGCTATTTGATATTATCTTAATTCAAATATACAACATAAACTTCAGCGCTGTTTATTAACTATGTATTGATAGTTATTTATCAGTATGTAGTTGATAAGAGTTTCGAGACATGAGAATTGCACATCTAAGTTGTAATAATACAATCTTTGCCGTTGGTATTTCACGAGTTCAGTGTCGGCAACTTCTTGGAATCCGACATTGAAGGTCTCTAAACTTTTGTGTTTTGTTATTTAAACCTGGAATTTCACATCAATATTTGATTTACTTGATGGATGGACTAAGAACAGCTTGCTGATTGATTTCATTTTGATTTCATCTTTTTTGATTAATTATCTCGAAATTGCAGGCAAAATCAAGTGATGGTGCAGGATAGCAAGGGGTTAAGTGAACATGAAGTCTTCCAGCACGCTACTGTTGGCAACTTCTTGGGATCTAACATTGAAGGTCTCTCTAAATTTTTATGCTTTACTGTTCGAATCCAAAATTTTATATTAATATTTGCATGGTTTCAGGTTCCGGTTCCGGTTTCATGCGCTGTGTATATACAGCTAAGAACGCAGTTAATGCAACCGTCACATTGTTGTGAGATTTTCAACTCTGTGGCCATTAATACTAAAATCAACACAGTGTGTTGTCATTTGTATCGCCTCTCACTAGAATCGAATTTATTTTTAATGGGAAAAGTACAAGTGAAAACTGTTGGTTTGTCCTATTCTGAAATTTGGCCTAAGATAATTTTAAAAGTAGTAGGAATTGGAATACTCCAGCGAAAGACCCCACAAAATACTTTGCAATGATCTATGTAGTGCTGTTACAGATGTGATCTCAATGCGGGTTGCTGTGAGAGAGGTTGCTGCCCACAAGACCTTTTCTGGTACTTTTCACAAAGTTGTCAACTCGAACTCTACAAGATTTGAAGGATTTCTAATGTAGTGACGAAGTTTTTTCAAGACATTTATACATGTCTATAATAAAAAGTTCTTATATTCTTTTAATTCAATCATTTCTTTGTTGTCTATTGATATTCAGTTTCATCACTTCAAATGTTAAGTTTATTTTAGGATGGCTGGAGTATTTATTTTGTTAGTTTTCGTACTTTTGGTATTTGTCGTTGGCGCATGCATCGTAATTTGTTGCTATTGGCGAACGAAAAAGGAACAACGTAGGGAAGCCTACGAATATAGCATATATGGCTCACAGGTATGCGAGTTATTATGATTTATCTCTTAAAGTTTATTGAATTGTAAATTTAAAACGCCTTTTTTCCAGTTCCGGACTCTTTTCTAACAAAGCAGGTGAATAGGGTTTAATATACAAATATGATAATGGCCTATCTGTGCTTCGTAACTAAAAACGAGTATACTTGGTTAACTAAGCAAATGTTCTGTTTTAGCTACTATCTCTTGGATGGCTTCAAAGAAGCAAAGCACATTATGAATCTTTCATTTAGAAAAATTTATAAAACGATTTGAATTCTCTATAATTACAATTTTTTCCTTATGGTCTATATTGCATTGTAGGTTGGTATGTATCCGGATGGATACAGTTATTATGCAAATCGACCTGTGTTTCAAAGGTATTAGCTGCATTTGTCTGTTTCCATTTGATAGACATATATGACTTCTGCAAAAGAAAAAGGATGTGATAAGAGTTGTTGTTACTAGATTACAGTCATTATACGTTATTATAAAATGCTACCTTTTGATCAAACTGCTCTTTAAATTTCAATAAATCATTCCTCTCTTGTTGAACCTGATCAACATATCTATTTTTCGATCCAATTCTTTTTTTGAAAAAGATTTTCAAATAACAGGTTGAAATTTACTTCTAAATAAAAGTATATGATGTGAGCTAAGTAGAAAATTTTTTTCCATGGAAATCGATTACAAGAGTAACCATCTTCAAGTCCACTTATAAAATCCAATTGGTGGAATTTTTTCCGTCTTGGTTTTATCTAAGAATGATTTGTAGCATATTCTCATGAATAATTATTTCGTAAGGGACAATTTCAAATACACACTACCTCTAGGGTAGGTTCATACGCATCAGCCTAAGAACATCACCATAGTAACTGACCATTTATAATGGATGAGTTTGCAGTCGCCGTATATTTTTTTACTGTAGAGTGGTTTGTCGTCACCATTTTCAGCTGCTAGGAAGCAGAGTCTTTAACGCTCAGCAGGGACGCGCCTCATTCAAGTAAAGGTTGTACCTCAAGTTTTACATAAACTTTAACGAAAGATGCGTTTCTTCATCACTAAATTCTTCTTCAGTGCCACAACTATTAACTGTTATGTGAGCCAATAAATGCAGTTAATTGTTTTCTGCAATCAACCAAGTTGAAAATGCTTTTATCATAATTAGTTTTTGTGTAAAGGTTAAACTAAACTGCAAAGTAACTGCGAGAATAATATTTTTATTTATGGCAATCATACGCGTTGACTTTCAATATTTTCCAGTATTTTTATGCTAATGATAATGTAATTTTAGCTTCCAACTATCCATTTTTTGAATTCCTGAAATTTCTGAGTTCTGTTGGATTGCGGAGAATTTCACGATTTTAGGATGATATTAAAGACGAAAAAAAAATGATGTTTTGTTGTTTGTTTTCATAAAGAGCAAAGTGTCTTTTTCATTCCGCACTTCGTGAGATATAGCTACAAGATATAGCAATACTGGTGGGAAAATCTGGGGTTGACAAGATGCAGGACGAACTTTCTCTCTGTCATAATTCAATGCATAACTGTTTGGGTTTCTAACTGGGAATTTCGATTTAAGTTTCCAAGGAAATTCCCGGTTTGATATTTACAGCCATTGAGTAATCGTACTTATTTATAAGGCTCCAGATAGATTCAATTCGTAAAAGTGCACTCGTACTTCAGTTTATTTATAGTTGAGCTCTTGATTGCCATAGCTAGTTGATTTTAAAACATGAAATAGTGATAAAAATTAACAGTTTTATGAGAGCGGATGGGTTGTTAAAGGGCACGAGATAGTAGCCGTAAACAATTGCATTTATAATCGTCCGATTAACATTTTATTATTCACTTCACTTACATATCGATCAATCAAGCAATTTTTATGTAATTTTTTTTGTTTCATAAATTCTTATCTGATTCAATCAGTCTTCAAAATAAGCAAACAAGCAAATATATATTTTGCTACTAAGCTACTAACAAGGCTTCCTTTTCTCAACTATCCATCTATCCTCACTGTGTCACTTTTGCTGAAGTATAAAGTGGAATGAGATATTCAGATTTATGTAGCAGACATTTTTCAAATAAATAACAGGTAATTACAAATAAATTATCAATTTAAACGAGAAAATTAGATCGCCTGATTTTGACAATCCCCACGATTGTTTTTATTAAGAAGTCCCTCTTAGCTGCAAATTTAGCAAGTTTTAATCAATACTACTGCATGCAGTGCTATGACGGCTTCCCCAAATTCCTGGTGAACAAAAAAAAGCAATTCAATTCTTGACAAAATCTGCATACTGATTAACTTCTAGAGCATTAGTGCAATTCCAATTTAAAGATGGATGACATGTTTACATCTCAAAATGAGTGGTATAATTAATTGCTACATGAAATGTTTTCGCAACTGCAGTGGCCGCACCTTCTTGGATGTGTTTAAGCAATTAATCGATTATAACAATTCGATATTTCAATCAATTACTTTTCAAATAATGATGATTTTAATTGATTGAGCTTAGATAATTAAAACTATCAAAATAGTGGAAAATGTTAGGCAGCTTTATTAAAAAATATTAAGCAAGGGAGTGTGTGCAAAGAGAAATTTTTTGCTGTAACTCAAAGAGAATTAAATGTTGAAATCCCTTTATGCTAACTATCCGGAAGTTGAGTTGGATAAATGCACTTCAGTATGATGATGGGAATTGTCGAATATTTTCCTATCCAAAACTCTTTTTTGCACTGAAAGAGTTTAGTTACAAATAGCAAAATGATTGCATAGAAATAGATCGCAAATTATGCAAGTTTACAGGTTAAAAAAAGGTAATTTGATTTAAATTTGAAAGTAGAAAGTAATAAAGCCATAAATCGATTTAATGCCATTAACATCCTTAAGCATTAGTTTGACCTTTTAATCTTTATGTGATACCTTCAATTCTTAGCACTATGAAAACTTTGGAAAGAAGGCAAAAGAAGAAAGAGTTGAGCACAGAAAGGGAAAAGGGAAAGATCATATTCATTTAAAAAATTAAAAAAAGTAATTTTATCGAAAGTATCAAGAAAGTTCAATAAATTGAATATAGGATGGAATAGCTCTCGTATTATGGTATTCCTGGCTTTCATATATAGCAGGCCTATAAAATCTTGTAGCAATATAACTTCTTCCTTTCTTCCAAAAAAATTGAAAATAAACACAAATTTTTCATGGGAGGAGCTACAAATTGCATAGCTGAAGAAACCGATCTACAGTGTGGACATTCCATTTGGTTATGACATTTTGAATTAAACAATGTCTTTTTCATTTATATGAGATTAACTGCTAGAGAAGAGTGCACGAAGTATCACAAGATTGTTCTGCATGTCGTCGGCTTTCAGCTTATGACGGTGAAAATGCTTAGTGATACATCAAACAAAAGACTTAAGATGTAATTCAATTTAACAAAGTTATTCATTATTTAAATGTCGCAAACTGCTTCTTTTCATTTTTTAATGATAATAAAATCATTATTATTATTATTATTATTATTATTATTATTATTATTATTATTATTATTATTATTATTATTATTATTATTATTATTATTATTATTATTATTATTATTATTATTATTATTATTATTATTATTATTATTATTATTATTATTATTATTATTATTATT